ATGCACAAATATATACACACACACACACACACACACACACACACACACACACACACACGCACGCATATATATATATATACAGTCTTCTTACGACCTTCTTTATCCGGCCACGTCGGGACCGGCACCCATTCGGATATGGGATTTGGCCGGATATAAAGTTATGCTCAAACACAGCATTTCTATGCAGTTCAGGAAGGTTTATGCATGTGATAATGTATTTACTCGTTGCTATGATTATTTGTAACAAACTGCCGTGTTTTATGGTTTATATGAAATGGAAATAAAATAAAATAAAACAGAAATTTTATCGGAGGCATAGCGGACACGAGCGGACAACACACACACGTACGGTTGGTACATCGCGCGAGTTTTAAGCGAGATTCTTAGGTGGAAATGAATGAAAAACAGAGAACATACACTGCGAGATAGCGGCCGGTTAATAGAGAATTCCGGATAACGGATAGCCGGATAAAGGAGGTCAGACTGTATATATATATATACGCATTCACAAACCAACGTTGAGATGACGTCAGTCGAAATAAAATTTCCGGGAAATCAGATTATATTGTGATAGCCTCGTTTTTTTCGAAAAGAGGAGAGAAAGAACATAAACTTGACACTATATACGAGTTACCGTTACGTGTGTGCGGTTCACTCGTCGGCAGAGCGTAATAATATTGCTGCAATGTCAACAGCGGAGAGCAATCAAATATGGCGGCGACGTGTCGCCTTCAGCGCAGCTCAGTGGCGCATTAATTTCAGTAAAAATAAAACCGGAATAAATGTTTACTAGTCGCAGAGCCTTGGATACCGACAGAAGATGGAGGAAGAACCTACCCTGCTTCATAAACTGTTGCCATTCGTGTACAGTCTGTCTATGCTGCTGATGGTGCTTATTCAGATGGTCGTCGGGCTGACGTGGTGCTCGTCTAAATGGTTCGTGGGCTACACAAATCATACCCGTATCGTTTACCAATAGCGAGGAAAGCCATGAATCGCAATAAACTATTCAAATTTAGTTTAGTGTTGCGAATGCGCTCGTGGGCTATACGTCCTTTCTACGTTCCCGTAAAAAATTACGTCATCATTACGGATTTAAACGCATTTTGCTCCCACCTTCTCTAAACTCCGCCTCCCTCCACGCGTGGAATTTGCCATCGTCGCGTTGCTGAGGCATCCACGATTGTTGCTGATGTTGCTGTTGCCATGGTGAATGCGGATGAGGGCCTTCAAACATGTCCGGCCCAAAGCCGTTGCCGAAACCAAAGTTGTGGAACCCGTTACCTTTAACAGAACGCATTCCTATCTTACCCAACGAAAGGCTAAAAATCAGAACACCCCCACCACCAATCAAGGGTAATAAAAGACAATATTAAATAAACGTATTATAATAGGTTGATTAATGGATAATATAAAGACTACTAAGATCAATGTGATATAAGTGAAACTTCGGCACTAAGAAATATAAAGGTAATCATCGGTATACCTGGTCTGAACGGATCACCATGGTTCATATTGACAGTGAAGAAATCGTCATTATCCATGTCATCAAACAGGTCATCAAAATCAAAGAACCTGCGTAGAGAAAATAAATAAATAAATGTGTATTTCTTACACATATAGGCCTACACATGCACACATGCACAAACACACACACACACACACACACACACACACACGCACGCACGCACGCACGCACGCACGCACGCACGCACGCACGCGCGCGCGCACACACACACGCACACACGGCACGATTGAATCCCGCGACACGCATTCGAGTCGCCGTCTACGGACCTGAGCGACAATGACCAAGCGCGCTGCGGGTTGGCGTGTTTACTCCCGTCGGATTCACACTAAACTAAAACTGAAACCATCATCGCTCGATATTAAGTGGAAAATTACTAGTGGAAGCTAGACGGGGATCGGCGCTCGTGAATAAACCGATACGGGAAGGAACGCTGAGTTCTACTCTCGGTGAATTGAAGGCTCGTGCCGCTAATTTTTTACACACATCGCACGTAAATATCCTTCCTTCATGTGCGTGCGTGCGTGCGTGCGAGTGTGCGAGTGTGTGCGTGTGTGGTGTGCGTGTGTGTGTGTGTGTGTGTGTGTGTGTGTGTGTGTGTGTGTGTGTGTGTGTGTGTGTGT